TCTATGGCCTATGGTTGGCTGTGTTGCCCTATCTCGTGTCATTGCGGGGGCATCCAGGAGTGCAATGAACGCGGTAATCACGCATGTAATTGCTTTTATAGATATGCCGCTTTGGGATTTCTGCGTGGTCAGTTACACGCACAACGAGGTACCGCAAGTGGTCACAATAAGCAGCAGATGGCTGTTGGAAGACGGGCAGCATGGTATTTTGTCTAGCCTTCCCCTCTTCGAATACCATCAAGCGGTGAGGGAGCACAGATACCCCATTACGGATTGCAAAATGTTCCCTGTGACCGTGCTTCATCGTACAGGTAAGCGCATTCATTTAATCATTTGCAGTGCATTTCGATGATGCCCGCCGTGTGGAGAGGTCGTTCGAGGATCAACCTTTTGCTACCGACACAGATTGCACCATTCCCATGCAAACATCGCCGAAACGAGTTATGTAATGCGCTACACAATTGATAACGCAATGCATTGCAGACGCCTGCCAGCTAGACTACGGGACTCTGTGGATGATAATCCCCCACAAAGAAACGACGCACCAATGCTCCAGCAGCTGCAAGCTATGGGAAGTACCCCGATTTCTCCTTGGAGGAGTTGGCGCGGACTTCCCAGCCTACTCATAATCTTGATGCTGTCGAGGAAAATGCCGACATGCGTAAGTTCTTATTATGTATGAAAAGGTTACCGTGAGGTGCGTGTTCCGCAGCAGGTCCGTCCAATCAAGTTGCTGTTCAAACTGAGCCTACCACATGCTGTAAGTGTTAACGTTCCTCACTTTAGATCCACGCCCTGGCAGGCAGGTGTCATGAAACGGACAACAGGGTTATGCACACATTGCACGCTGTAGCAGGTATGGTTGAGCTTCTTAGTTGCAACACATCCTATGCAGATGAACTTCGCATGCGGGAACAAGACCGCAATATGCTACGCGGCGTACTTGGTACGTGCCCCCTGTCATGCGCATTATGCAAACAATTTTCAGATTCCCTTAGGCGCGTGGAGGAGACACTTCAAGTTTTGAAGGAGAGCCACGCGTCAATGAGCCAAGCAATGTGGAATACAAGGCCGACGCAAGCCACGGAGTTAACCCTACCAACCTCCAACATTGAGGAATTCCTGGAGTTGGAGGGCAAATTACTGGACTCCGAACTCCGTCGAGAACTGGTAAGTCACGTTCGCGGAATATGCATTCATGACTTAGACTACTCACATGCAGTCAACACCCGCCGGCACGGTATCCGAGGCCGTTCGGTACATGCTGGACAGGGTGATGAATCGAGATGTCTTGCGTCAGTTGAACTTTGCCGGTGCAAACAACGCGATACCTTTCAAGAAGACGCATACTTTTAGTGCGCTGCAAGGTAACTCAGATAACCTTTTCCACATTACCTTCTTTCGCAGAAGTTATCATTAACCGGTTCGGGTGCACGGGCAACGCCGTTGCGAACTCTGTTTGCAAGTGGCTACAAATTACCCGGAGCAACCTGCACCGACGTACATCTGCTACATCTAGCAGTCAAGATTCCCAGGTACAGTGTACCATTAATGCCGTACCTAACAATTTCCTTTACAGGCTTTAGAAGTTATAGATTTGGACGCTCAATGCATCAAGGAACCGCCAACGACCATGTAAATATTTCCTTTCATAGTAATATACATTTGTAATACTTTTCCGTGTGCTTCAATTGCTGCCCCGTAATTTCGCGTATAGTATACTATCCCACCATCTAGGCGCGTATTGTGAGCATGGCGTTCGCGTACGGTGTGACGGGAAGGAAGGCAGTGCAGGTCATGGTCCTATATTCATCCAAAGCCACGGAAAACTCCGTTCCGCTTTTCGTATTTCGCAGTAGCTGCAAACCCACCGTTGTTGCGACATCTATTAGGATGCCTGTCATCATTGGCAATCGTTTGAGATTGATTTGCCCACCAAACCGGTATATGCTCCCTGGTAATTTCGCAACCTATTCAGACGTCCACAAGGACATGCAGGCATGCAATCCGCAGTTGGTAAGTACGCACGGTACTCTTCAATGCAGTCTGATTAGGTAATGGTATAACTTATTGTGCGTCGCTATTATGTATAGCGTTCACTGCGCTGTCTACGTCAAACGTGCAACCATTCCCGGTAGCTTATGAATAGGAACCGTTAGATAATAATAGCTTCAGTGCGATTGCGAAACACTATTTCGCCTAGGCCATGAGGGGAAACCCCTTCCTCTAGGGTTGGCGAAAGCATTGCATAGTGTCGCCCATGTCAAGGTAACCGCTTGGTACGGTAGTTGGTACCTCGGTTTCGTTACGTTCATACGAGGAAACTCTTTATGATATACTACGCGAAATCATATTATCGCCTCCTTAGTACGAGAACACGTCCTCGTATTGACTACGCGTAGCCATCGTAGTACTTCATTACGGAAAAGCGTCATATTCACTGAGCAACCCTTTGGTATCCACCACGAAAAATATCAGTTAACCTTCCAAAATACGAAGAGCAGCCTTCGTATTTACTCAGCGAAACTGTAGCATGCTTCGTCAATATAGCAGCGTCTTCGTATATACTAAGAAAAACCGTAGTATTGCTTCCTAAGTACGAGGAACACCCTTCGTATATACTAAGAAAAACCTTCGTATTGCTTCCGCAATACGAAGAACCGCCTTCGTATTTACTAAGAAAAATCTTCGTATTGTTCCGTCAATACGTGGAACAGCCTTGGTATATACTGAGAAGAACCTCCGTATTGTTCGTAATTACGAAGAACGGCCTTCGTATTTACTAAGAAAAATCTTCGTATAGACTAAGAAAAACTTTCGTATTTGCTTCGTCATTACGAAGGCTACGCTTCGCATTGACGAAGAAAAATCTTCGTTTACCTCCGTAAGTGTGGTCCGTCTGTCATTTGATTGCTTGCGTACGCGGTACGCATTCACATGCGCACCATGAACTGTACAACTTATTGGTGGACAGTCACCTTGGCTAGAGCGTCGTGCTAGTTGGTTAGAGCGTCGTGCTAATAACGCGAATGTCGTGGGTTCGACCCCCATCCGGGCCAGTAAAACCAACTTTTGACTCGTGGCTGCGGATAACGACGTCCGGTGGCTCGTTCCCATTCTTGCTATACGTTTGTCTTACAAGTGAAATACGCTTGAATACCGGTGTTTCAACGCACATTGGTAATAGAATTTGACGTCTGTCAAATTCCTTCACACATCCAAGGTGATTTGGATAGCGACACCTATCCACAAGACATCAAGCATGACGAGCAAGGTCCAGCGAGCTGCGACCTCCCGTGCGTCTAGCACTTTGGACGCTACTCTCGACAAAACGAGAGCAGCAGCAGCATCTAAGTGCCTGAGCTGCAGCAGAAATGTCACTTCTCGGTCTAAAGCGCTGCAGTGCGGTCTGTGCGAAGGATGGGCCCACACAACGTGCAGCGGCATTGAGCACGATCTTTATGAATGCCTGAAAAGAATGGCATCTTCCGCGCTAACATTCCACTGTGACAAATGCCGACTTATTGTTAACGGTAAGTCCCTTCTGGCGAATCTGACTTTGGCGAAAAAGACAGATAATAACGCCGCATTGGTGACGCCCGTACTACCGCCGGTGACTCCTCCATGCATCCATACTGTGCGCAATCGAAGCCGCTCCTCCTCCGCTTCATCAGCGGACACACCAATGCATAGTTCACAAGACAACCGAAAAAAGCCGTCTGTCGGCACTCCAACTGCAACTGCGACCTACGCAGCCGTGCCCAGCGCTGGCGCCGCAAGACCACTCGGCTGGGTCCAGGACCCTAAAAAGAAAAGCTGTAAGGCGGTAAACGACAACAAATCGAGATCTTTGTCTACAGTGTCACAACTAAAGTCTGTGCTAAACAAGGTAACACGACTTGAGAAATTGCTAGCCGAGAAACCGGCCTTACCGAAACCGGTGAGGCCAAGCGATAGCAAGTCACCACGGGGACGGCTATGCAACGTCATGATTTTCCACGCACCTGAGTCGACTGATCCCAGTCCCCAGGTACGCTATGACCATGATGTGTAATTCTTGCAGTCTCTAACCGACAAACTACTGGATGTTGGCGTACCCGGGTTACGAGTGAAACAAGTCACTCGTCTGGGGAAACAAGTTGATGGCAAGTGTCGGCCTCTGCGCATCGCGTTCGCCGACGAAACTGCCCCAAGGTTAGTACTGTCCCGCCTCGGTCGCCTAAAGGGGATGAAAATCCATGTCCGGCCAGACCTTGATCCCGCAGAACGAGAGCAGCTGAAGTCTGCCGTGATCGAACTGAAACGACGCACGGACGCCGGTGAAACTAACCTGCGTATCGTAAATTTTCGCACAGTTGCCCGGATACCCCGAATCCGGGTAAACAGAGCAATGACGCTTCAAGCTCGTCCAGCGGTTCCTACAGCGGATTGCGTGTAGCGTTCATTAATGTATGCAGCTTAATGAACAAGCACGATGATCTGATCCGCTTCATTGCTTCACGTCGGCCAGATGTGGTTGGTTTGGCTGAGACGTGGTTGACATCTGAAGTGACAAGCGAAGAAATTGCGATCACGGACTATTCGTGCTTCCGCTGTGATCGACAGTCGAATAGCCGCGGTGGCGTCCTACTTTACCTCCGGTCTACCCTGTGCGGGAGACTCGTGAGCACCTACCGAAGCATTGACGGTCTATGTGAGCAGCTGTGGTGTTCGATCCACCTACGACGCGGCGAACTGCTTGTGGGTGTGGCATATCGTAGCCCACTGAGTAACGGATTGGATTGGTTCACACACGTCCAAAACCAAATGAGTCGCCCGCAGTTCCTGCTCACTGGCGACTTTAACCTTCCTCGAATCTTATGGCCTGAAGTTCAGCTTCTCCCTGGCCATAATGAAGTGGAGACAAGATTCGCCGAACTGGTACTGGAAACCGGAACGGTGCAGCACATTACGCAACCCACCCGCATAACCCCGCGCTCAATGCCATCATGCCTGGACCTGCTGCTAACCAGCTGCGAACAAACAGTGCATGACATAGAAGTTCTTGAGCCCATGGCGGCCAGTGATCACTCGACAATTATGGCCACTATAGACCTGCAGCTTCCATGCGTGCGTCCAGTGGCGCCAACATACAACTATTGGAAAGCTGACTTCGATGGCCTCATTCTAGCTGCCAATCAGCTTGATTGGTCTATGCCACAGGATTCATCCGTTGAAACTTGCTGGGCGAACCTTAAAGGGGCAGTGCACTCATTGTGTGCGCAATTTGTACCCCTCAAGACTCGGAAAGTTGGACCAATGAAACCCCATTGGTTTGACAAAGAGTATAACCGACTGTCTCGACAACGGCGTCGACTATGGAATGCGTTCCACCTGTCTGGCTCTGCCAATGACTATGAGGCATACAAGCGACAACGAAACTTGTGCAACAGCACAAAGACGCGAAAACGCCGTCAGTTTGAGGAGCAGCTTGCTTACTCAGCTAAAACTGCCCCGAAGCGCATATTTGCGTACGTGAAGCGACGCCTGAAGTCTGCAGGTAATGTGCCGGTGCTAGTGGGTTCGAACGGACAACCACTAAGTTCAAGCACCGAGCGTGCGTCCGCATTAGCGGCGCACTTCGCTTCTGTATTCGCAACTAACCAAACCTGCGTGCCAAGCTCTGCCGTAGCCGCACCGACTGAGCTAACCGACTTGATCTGCGACGTCGCGGAGGTACATGGGCTAGTCAGCTGCCTAGACAGCACGAAGCCAGCTGGACCGGATGGTCTCCATCCGCTGATCCTCAAGTCCTTGTCAGCTGTGATCTCACCTGCTGTAACCGACCTGTTCAACCGATCCCTGTCCATAGGCTGCGTGCCTTGTGACTGGAAATGCGCCGTTGTCAAACCGATTCCAAAAGGCGGTGACACACGCAAAGTGGAGAATTACCGCCCTATTTGTTTGACCGCAGTATTGTCGAAAGTTCTGGAGAAGATTGTGAAGAAGAGACTGCTCCAGCTACTGGAGACCAACTCTCTCCTGACGCCTGCACAGCATGGTTTCGTGAGAGGCCGCTCGTGCATCACTAACCTGCTGCTAACATGGCATGAATGGTTGCAAGCAGTAAACCAACGTAAGTCAGTCGACGTGGTATACGTCGATTTCAGTAAGGCCTTCGACAGAGTAAATCACGAGATCCTCCTTCAGCAACTGAGGGAGTGCGGAGTCGGAGGCTCGCTGCATCAATGGATCCGTGGCTTCTTAGTTGGACGGAAGTGGAGGGTGCAAGTCGACAGCCACCTGACCGACTGGTACCCGTCGACGAGCGGCGTTCCTCAGGGGACGGTGCTTGGCCCCATTCTCTTCCTGATTCACATCAACGACGTGCCCAATCTCCTTCGGTCGCCGTGTGCCTTGTTCCCGGATGACCTGAAGCTATGGAGGGTGATCCATACGTCGGACGACTTTGACATACTTCAGCAGGACCTCGACCGCCTCTCCATGTGGTCCGCCGAAGTAAGTTTGCCTATCAACTCGGCAAAATCGCTACTTCTGTGCCTCGGTAAAGGTGGAGCGGGCCGATCGTACACTCTCGACGGCCAAG